ACTTATCATCATGTACATCAACTCTATAATCTCCAAATAGTAGAAAATAACTATGTTAAGTCATTTGCCCAACACGCAACTAATTTTCTACAAGTCCTGGCACCAACATCACCTCCTTTATGTATCCTTTGCCTTTGATGGTATCAATCACAAGTATCATTTACCCACTACATCCCTTAATACTTTAGTTCCCACCATGTACCTTTACTTTAACATTTCTGTTGATATCCACAAGCAAATCTTCCCTTGATGTCATGTGATTGCTACAACCACTGTCTATATACCACATATCACTATTCTTGTCCACAATAGTTGAGTGGCTTGCATAGAACAAGTTCCTTGTCTCCTATACTTGAGTAGCATAACTCACTTGTTGCAAAGTCTTATTGAGATTACAATCCTTAGCAACATGGCCAAATTTGCTGCACTTGTAACATTTTGACTTCCCTTTATTCCAAGACTGGTGAAGATTCTTATTTTGACTGATTATGTAGTTGCATATATTAAGAAATCATTTCTCTTCATTAATGATTATTTTAACCAATTTCCCAGTCTATTTTATATTAGGGTGTGTAATTTCTTAAACAAATTAATTTAGAAAAATGATTGAGCCTTTGTGTACCTAAAAAATAACTGTTCATTTATACGATAAATTGAAATCATAATAAAAACTGGGGTAAATTATACAAAACTACTTCAGTTATGAGTCACACCACAATTTCATACCTCACAAAACATTACAATGTCATACCTCAATTTACGAATCATTGCCATGGCAGGCCTCAGTTAAAAATTCCATCAATTTATCTGTTAATTGCTGACATTACAAAAGCAGGGCCATATGTTTAATCACATATCATCAAATTTGTGCCACGTGACAATTTTTTATTTTACAAAAGTTTAATAATTTAATAATGCCAAAAAAAAATCTATTTAAAATATAATTAGATTAGTTAATTATTATTATTTATTTTTTTTTTTTTTTTGCAACAACGAAAAGGATTAAACAACCATCTTCATCTTCGACGAAATTCAGATGCAGTGATACAGACACAGTGATCATCACCATCATGAGAGAGCAAAAGCAAACCAAAACTCCGCTCTGTCTTCAAATTATCCTCCCATTAATCATCTCAATTCTCTCTCTAGACCCAGCAAACATAATAGAGAGAGCTCCATAATTAAACATCATTAAAAAACCCAGAACAACTGTTTCCTAATACTGTATTTTGAACCGCTATGAAACCAGACAAAAATGGACAATGGGATATCAAATCACTTCCAAAAAATTGAGATGGCTGCTCATACGGACACAGCAACCCATCTCTCTACCACCCTCTTCGACTCCATTTACTGTTCCATTGACGAACCCATAGCCGAGAAGTCTATAACTGTTCGATGAAATTCCATGGCAAATTTCAAAATGAAAAATTCAAGGTACAGTCACCAGAACCGAGTTCCTGATGAATTCAAGTTCCAGCTCTTCGGATTCGAGTGGTGGGATTTCTTCGTCGAAGTCGGATATTATGTATGGATCAAAATCGAGGTCCTCATTGTCATGCTACAACATGCACAGGCTAAGGTCCACCACTAGGCCCCCGTGAGACGAAAGAGATTGTGGGTTTGGCCGGAAGACCCACAAACTTTTGTGACCTAGATCTGAAATTCAACCAACGAACTTGTTTGGATCATTTGCAGTTCAATCGCGTGGGCAGTCACCGCTCTCGCTGAAGTTCGAGTTGGTGGAGTTGGGATGGTGGGTTGGGACCCTGTGACTGCGATGTGAATTGAGGAATAAGGTTAACAGAGTTGTGATGGTGGATCAAAATTTATAGCTGAGGGGTTGGGGAATTAGGGCTTATTTAGTTTTTCATTGTTTTCATTATTTTTAATTTTGTTAATTTTTTAATTAACTAATGTAATTATATTTTAAATAGGTTTTCTTGTTTTTGTCATTATTAAATTATCAAAAAAATTAAATTTTTTTTTTTTTGCCACATGACACAAATTTGATGATATGTCATTAAACATGTAGCCTTATTTTTGCCACGTTAGCAATTAACAGATAAATTGATGAAATTTTTAACAGAGGTTTGACATTACAACTGGTTCATAAATTAAGATATGACATTATAATGTTTAAAACATGAGGTATGAGATTCTGGTGCGACCCATAGTTCATATGGTTTTGTGTAATATATCCTAAAAACTGTGAGACCACCAAGCAATTTCAAAACCTAAATTGCTCATTTTCTTCCCTATTTTATTGGTTGCTTGATCAATTAGTTTAGCTCCCATCAACCAATAACATTAAACGTCATAGCAAAGTTCAGTGCTCTATCTATAATACTAGTCATGGTTCTAGCCATAACTACATTTCCAATTCGAGCCAGCCAGCCCTTCTACTTTCAACAAATCTTTGATGATTTGAAAGCCACAGAATCTACATTTGTAGGTATTTTCGGCAAGATTTGGTCATTCACTCAATTTGCCACAATCTATGTCGTTGATGATCCGATAACCGAAGGTTAGACCCAAGCTCACCCTCTGTTGGCCGATTCCAAGGCTTTTCTCTGATATCCAGTTTGGATGGATGTAATACCCATTACTTGTTTTAACTTCTGCTTACAAGTACAACTGTAGCACTCTAGACATACATGGAACCGAAAAGCAATACGAGCCAGTTAGAGAATTTCCAGTGGTTTCAGGTACCAACAATTGTCGAAATGTTTTTCAGTGGACATACCAAGTTCGTACGTAATTACACAATGCAATGTCACAGTGAAACATTACTAATCTACTATTAGCTTAATATCATGTTTATTGGTTAAAGATATAATACTATACTATACTACTATGTGTATGAACCTTTAGTTCATATTCGATCGTGCTGTTATGGTGGTGTGTTTTTAGATTTAAAAAGTCAGTTCCTTGGAGATTTTTCTTATAATGTGGAGATTTCTAGCTCTATTGTGGCGATATGTAATATCAGTAATTAAAGCTATTGAATTGGCTTCAGTTCGGGATTAGACTTTTATTTTGTTGGAAGTTGATTCTGTTTTGGTTCTTGACTTCTTGCGCTCTCCTTCATTGTTGCTTTGGCAATTGAGAGTGGAGTGGAGGAATTTCTTGTGTAGAATTTCCTAAATGCATTTTCTTCTTCACATTCATAAGGAAGGTAATCAAGTTGCTAATGCTCTTGCAAATCATGGTTCTTCTACTGGCCTTGTTTGGTGGGAATCTCCTCTTGATTTTCATTCTGCCGTATTATCGTGATTATGTAGTTGAAAATTAGAGACGAACAAACCAAATATAAAACTAAGGAGAATATTTTATTGCTCCAAAACAGAGAAACATTGCCGAGATGGCTATATAACTCGAATAGACTACATCTTGACAAACTTGATGAAAATAAATGAATGCAAGACTCATATATATATCGCAAACTAGCAAACCTTAAACCTAAATGGGTTTGGCCCAAAAAACAAAATACTAAAAAAAAAATAAATACTATTAATTTTTTTAAAAAGTCCAGTCAAACTCATGGCAGTAAAGACACGAGTTTGCAAACAAGCAGATGGGGATGCGAGCTCCATGACTCAAACAAGCAGGCAGGCAAACAAGTTCTGCAACAAACGTACAGACAGGCAGGTAGGCTCCGCTAATCTGACAGGCAGGTAGGCAAACAGGCTTCGATAAATGGACAAGCACACATACAGGCAGATTCAGATAGATGGAAGATGGATGTAGATTCAGATAGGCAGATTCTGTTAGGCGAGATTTCCATATCCAAAATGCAAAATACAAGCATATGGAAACTTGGACAACAATCACTCGAGTGGTCATCAATCCAATCTTTCGAGTGATTGCCAAACAGACAACAACATACTCAATGCACACTATATCAAACAACCCAATAAAATTTAGAAGTAGCCAAAAAAGTCTATTCAACATAAAGACAAATTAAAAGCAAAAAACCCTCTCTTTGGGGTAAATCGTAGAACATTTGACCCCGATATTCCGACATATCAATCAGGCCAGGAGACAAGATTTTATCGCGATTGGGAGGTTATCCGTGTGGGAGTGTGAATGTGTTTTTTTCTAGGTTGATTTAGTTAATGAGGTTTGTTTTAATTTCAGATTAATTTGGTTCCTGTTAAACTAATTGGACGTTAGAAGAGTGGATGGTGTTTGAAAAGGGCTGGTTTTTATTCTTTTTTTTAATTTCCCTTTTAGTTGTTTGAATGAACTTTTTATACTATAAATCAAGCTAAATTGAATAGCTGTGTTTGTATATTGTATTTGGTTTGTTAAATTGGTTTTTTTTTTCTTTTTTGCTGAAAAATGTAATTTAGTTTTGTGAATAAAAGTTTTCGAGCAAGAAAATTACCTTGGAGATAGAATTTAAATATGAGCACTTACATTTATTTAGAGTTTTGAATTCATCTTTAATTAGGGCATTGTGGTTGTGAGTTTGATGTAAAGGAAAACTAATGAAAATGGCTTGAAAACTTTGAATTCTAATGATAAGGACAAAATAAAGGGTAAAGTGAATAGTACCATGATTGACTTTTTAGTGTAAAAATGTGGTTTTTCGTTAAAATAAACAGTACCGTGGACTTTTCGTTAAAACTCTCTTGATTTAATGCATTGTAATTTTTATAAACATATTTATTTATATAATTTCTAATTTCGCAGAAATACGCAAACATAATTTCTAGTTGCATCCAAATCATCAAGCGGGCTCAAATGACGCAAGCCCATGGTGCAAAGACTGGTACAAAAATAACCTCCCAATCGTGATAAAATCTTGTCTCCTCCACCAGCGCTAACATATGTTCTTGAGATGAGCAGCATGTATCTCAGGGAATTAACAAAGTAATCAAACCAGCTGGATAAGAATTAAAACTCTGGCTTATAAAGTAAGAAAATTAATCCTCAACCAATTCAAAAATCCATAACATGCACGTCAGAATACTAATTCACCAAAACATGCCAAATTTAATCCATAATATAACATTAGAAACTAACAAGAGAAGGAACTTAATTCTTCTCAGCTTCTTCAAGCAGAAGGATACTGGGATCCAAAACGCATGATGACAGAAAAGACCAGAATCAGCTTGTGAGCATCCCAGCAAAAACCAATCAGATCACCTTCTTTCAGTTGCCGCCTCTTCACAAATTCACGGCTCCATGTACTCATCAAAACATAAGTTCCGGAGCCCTTCCAACGCTTGAAAATCAATTGATGTTCGGAGCTCGTATTAAGATCATAGATTCTAATCCCTGCTCCCTGATTTTCGACACAGTTAATAATTTGATAGCTCAAGTAGGGCAAGATATGTTTCTTAACCAACTTTCTCTTCAGCACTAGCCTGCTGGCCCTGTGCATGTTCCGTCCAACGTCGGTCATCGTCAGAGTTTTCTTGATCGGCCACGGCTCCATGTACCGTCTCGAGTTGGTTGGCCCCTTCCAAATCTGCTGCACGGCCTCATTGAAGCTGTATTTGATCAGCAGGCGGGAAATCTTTGCAGCCACTTCATTTCTTCGCTTCATGAACTTTTGCATAGCATTCTCAGTAGCAGACAGTGTTTCATGCTCTGGGTTCGAAGCAAACGCAGTGTCGTCCTCTGCTGTTCGCTTCAATTTGGTCCAAGTTGGATCGAATAAATTCAGTTCTGTTGACAGTTTGTCTTGAACTTGGTTTTCTGACTCTGCGCAGCAGGGAGTGGCAAGCGATAGATCTGTGCAGACTTCCATTGCTGAAAAGGAGTGAAATTAGCAAGTCTTTTACGATGATGAAAACTTAGATTGACTACGGGTGGTAGATGCTACCTTTTAGAAGCTCAAAAAGTCTTTAGTCTCTCAGTTTTATAATGTTTTACATGTAACAACACTTGATTGGCTTTATAGTTTTAATTTGATTCAAACACTTTGTTTACCTAACTCCCATGGCTCCACACACCCTCAAGAACAACTTGAGCCCATTTCAACACTTGTTGAGTATATGGCAGCATTCAAATGTAATACTTGAGACATGAATATGGCTCGAGAAGCACTTAAGATGGGTTCAAGTTATTCTCGAGGCTATCAAGCAATGTGAACTAGGCAAAGGGTTTGAATGCAATTAAAACTATAAGGTCAACTAAGTCTTTTTTTATACATAAACATGGACAAAAATCTAAGAAATGAGGGGCAAAAGCCTTTTAGGACCTCAAAAAAAAGGGTCATTTTTCTAAATTTTCGATTGATATAAGATAGGCGATCACAACTCATGAACCGACTCTGGTTATTGGGCGGCTTCACAGGGTAGATCCAAAGGTATGCCAGAAAGAGAGAAAAATTTTGGATGGTTCATGTGCAATACATAGCATAACAATTTTAGAGTGAATGGATAAGAAGTTGATACATGACTGTTCAAACTGGTTTAGCAGGTCCAACTTCATTTTCAGCTTTAAATTTGAACAACAAAACAGAATCAGTGCAAACAATTATTTAATTTGTTAAAGTCTCTCTATGTTTAAAAATCAAATGTGGATAGGATAATTATAGGAAAGGTGAAGTGGAAGTCAAAACCAATAATACTCTCTATGAATGGTAAAGAAATTTCATAGGTATGCTAGTGACACAACAGCCACATTAAATACTGTGATAGTTCTATCTATTAATGCTATTTGGTTATATTTATGAGAAATTGTAAATCTTATTGTTTTTATTTGAATACCTGGTTTGCCTAAACTTTAGAAAGCACAAAAGAGTGAGATGCGGTCTCTAACTAAAATTTTTAGTTTTTTAGTTTTTTATTGAAATCCCTAACATTAATGTGATATTGTATTTCTATGTAAGTTATTATATTTTTAAATTAAAAATAAAATTTTTAGTTATTTATATTAATGAAATTTTAAATTAAACCCATAATTTATGAGATTAAAAATATCAAAAATAAATTATACTCCAATATTGTGTGTGTGTGTGTGTACACATGGGTACATTCATCAAAACTAACCCAAAAAATATTGTACCAAAACATGGCTACATTTTTCAATAAATATATATATATATATATATATATATTAGGCTTAATAACATTATTAAATTTCTTCTATTAAACTTGACATGAATACATTCTCAAATCAACGAAATATAATGTACCCATATAAGTTTAAAAATGGATTAAAAAAAAGATTGAATGAATTTTATATAAAAAATGGGTACATTTTACATATAAAAAATTGGTATTTTAAGAATGGGTGCATTTAAGATTAGAAAAAAAAATTGAAAAATTATATAAATGGGTACATATAAGTAAAAAATTGAAAACTTATTCTAATTTCACCTTTTATATTTTAGAAATGTTTTGAATTGAAATTAATTAGGAGTTTAATAAGGGTGGTACATTCATCAAAACTAACCAAAAAATTATTGTAGCAAAACATGAGTACATTTTTCAAAAACACAAAAAACAAATTAGGTTTAATAACATTATTAAATTTCTTTTATTAAACTTGACATGGATAAATTCTCAAATCAACAAAATATAATATACCCATAATAATAGTATAGATAATGTACCCATATAAGTTTAAAAAATGGATTAGAAAAAAGATTGAATGAATTTTATGTAAAAAAATGGGTACATTTTATATTAAAAAAGGATAACAAATTGGTATATTTAAGAATGGGTACCTGCTGAACAAGAGAGGTATGGCTTGAGGGCAACATAAAAAGCAGAGTTCTCAAAAAGAACTTGAAGAAGTAAATAGACAGCACAACAGTTAGAAAGCACAAAAGAGTGAAATTTTTCAAAATAAAACAAAACTCAGAAAGGACACGTAATAGACATGTAAATATGGTAAGACAATGCCGTTGATGTGAGATAAGAGAGGCGATCTCCTTTCTCATTATTATTCCTCTAAAAATGGGCATTTTTCTAAATTTCCCATTGACATGAGAGAGGCGATCACAAGTTCTCAATCGGCTATGGTTGCTAGGGCGGGTTGGAATTGTAGATCTAAATACATGCGAGGAAGAGACTTGGACGAAAAATTGTGACATATGCAATACAAACCATAATAATTTTGGAATGAATGCATAGGAAGGTGATACATGACTGTTCGAATTGGTTTATCCGATCCAATGTGATTTTCAAATTGATAAATTGATATATTTAATTTTTATCTGAATACCTGGTTCGCCGAGAGTTTAGATATATTCAGCCGCCAGGCAGAAGAAAAGTTGGTTGTGTCGCCGAACAAGAGAGATGTGTCTTGAGAGCAACAAAAAAGGCGGAGTTTCCTAAAATAAATTAAGAAATAATTCGACAACACAAGAGCTACAAAGCATGAAAAGAGTTGGATTTTCAAAATAAAACAAAATTGGAGAGGACACGTAATAGACATGCAAATATGGTGAAATAGTGCCGTTGATGCGGAAGTTACTACAGGTACGTAAATTGAAAAACTTACTTATGGAAACAAATTTGGAAATCGTTACATGGAAACCTGGCGTAATTTGCATCTGTTTAAGTTAATAGATTTATGAGGTTAGTTTTTATTAAGAACTTAAACTTAAAATTTAAACAACAAATAGAAGTTATAAAGTGAAAATTGTGGATGCAAATTTCCACCGTCTTTTCTTTTGACGAAAATGCACCTGCAAAATAATAACACTTAAGATTAAGGCCAAAAGCCTCACGCACCCAAGATGAATGTGGGGGGGGGGGGGCTTTGGCCGAAGAATCTCCGATGCCAAAGTTAAAATTTGAGAGAGAAAGTGTTTAGGAATTTTTGAGGAGAGAATGGCCTAGCATTTTAGTGAGAAAACATGACTATTTATAGGGGAGTGACCGGCCCTATTTAGAGAATAGAGGCCGGCCACATACGGTCAAATTGTGAGTGTAATTGCAAGATATTATGTGAAATAATATCTTGCAATTAACTTGGCAATTAATCCCAAATTGAATAGGAAAATTGGGAGTTACCTTTTGAGTGAGAATTTGATGAGGACTGATGAGAGGGTTTTGAATAATTACCATTTCGATCACCTTTGACTCTTCATTGATTGAGCCACTATTGTCTGTTGCATGCGTGTGAGATTCTCGGTGTGCCTCGAGGGTAATTTTGTCATTTTCACCCAAAAAGTACACGTGTCGCCTCCATAATTTTCTTGATTATTTTTGGCTCCACAAATGCCCCCATACCTGCTGGGCTGCTAGCAGGAAAGGGCAGCAGATGTAGAGATCTCCAATTTTGATGCAGATTCCCATTTGGACTTGGAATTAGATTCTTCTAGGAAAGGTAAATAAATCGCTTCCAAAGCCTATTTAAGCCTACCTTAAGTAAGGGATTAAATCAACTTTGGAGGGCAATTATTTATCCCTACAAGAAAGAGAGAAAGCTAGAGGATATCTGTTCCCCCATCCCTAGCGCTCTTCTTTTCTTGCCCATGCAAAAAACCGTCTTCTGTTGATTTCTTTGTCTTCTTCGCGCCGCACCAATGTAAGAAAAACTTAATTTTCTTTGTCTTTTCTTGGGTGGTGCTGCTACATGGCAGTTGTCGGGATGGTGCGGCACGTTGGCTGGCAGGGGCCAGGAATCAGCCTGCCATGGGCCGAGGAGGTGGTGTGGTAGGGGGCCACAACTTGTGTTGCTCGGCTTGACTGAAGCCAAGGGCTGGCTCGACATGGGCTAGGAAGTGGGGTGGCATAGGCCACGGTTTGGGTTACCACGTATGGGTTGCTTGCTAAGAATGAGGAAACTGCTTGAGTTTGATTTCTTAGCTGCCGTAGATGGAGCAATCAAGGACAGAGTTGCCAAGATCAGAGCTGTTGAAGATGAAATGTTTGATGAGCGAACTGTTGAGTGTGAAGTGGTTGTTGCCCCCTGACCATTTGCTGCTTAGCTGGCCTTCGAATATTGGATCTTTTAAGCTGTGTTGCCTTCTCGCATTGGAGAGCATTTAGTTTACCCTTTCGCACTAGAGAGTAGACCTAAATCTGTGTCGGGGAATTAGTTTACCCTTTCGCACTGGAGAGCAATTAGTTTATCCTCTCGCACTTAAGAGCAGACCCAAATGGTTGTCGGGGAATTAGTTTACCCTCTCGCACTTGAGAGCAATTAGTTTATCCTCTCGCATTGAAAAGCAGACCCAGATGGGTGTCGGGGAATTAGTTAACCCTCTCGCACTGAAGTGCAATTAGTTTATCATCTCGCATTGGAGAGCAAACCCAGATGGGTGTCGGGGAATTAGTTTACCCTTTCGCACTGGAGGGCAATTAGTTTATCCTCTTGCACTGTAGAGTAGACCCAGATGGGTGTCGAGAAATTAGTTTATCTTCTCGCATCGGAGAGCAGACCCAGATGGGTGTCGGGGAATTAGTTTACCCTCTCGCACTGGAGAGCAATTAGTTTATCATCTCGCACCGGAGAGCATACCCAGATGGGTGTCGGGAAATTAGTTTACCCTTTTGCACTAGAAAGTATGGAAGTCGTTGTTGTGAGCGCAGTTAAGGAAAACTGGACTGCTAGATAATTGAAATAATCATTAGCTATGAAGTCTTGTTCGGCAATCTACATGAGACTTCAAACTGCTTATGGAACCTGCGTAAAGGTGTAAGTGAGAAGCGCAACGAGCTGCTCCCAGACATTCTTCAAGTATTGTGCCATTGTTAGATGTTTCGTCATGTGCCATTCTGAGGTTTGGTTGATGATCAGCTGAGAATCTAAATAGATTGCAAGCTTTTTCATCGCTAAGTCTTTAGCTAGCAAGGGCTACTAATAAAGCATTGTCTTTTGCTCTATCTTTGGATGCTTTGAAGTTTGGAGTGCTATGGGCTTGGTCAGCGCGATTAGGAGACACAGGGCAAGATGGTAGGGTTAGGAGCCATGGTGTAAGATCGGCATGGTTTGGAGCC